GTCCTGTTGTGAAAGTCAACTTGGGCATGATGTCAAAAACTAATGCTGCAGCAATGGCAATATGTAAGGTCATGCTTCAACCACATCCCCCAGAACCTATACAGAGTCAGGGACACTATAAACTACATGTCAACTACAAACTTTTGTAGTCTCAAAAAGCAGACATTACAGACTTTTGTAATGAAAAAGCGCACACTACAAATCTTTTGTAGTCTCAAAAAGCGGACACTACAAACTTTTTTAATGAAAAAGCGCACACTACAAATCCTTTGTGGTCTCAAAAAGCAGACACTACAAACTTTTTTAATGAAAAAGCGCACACTACAAATCTTTTGTAGTCTCAAAGGGCAGACACTACAAACTTTTCTAATGAAAAAAGCACACACTACATGCACCTTCCTTTTTTGGTCATTTTTTCCCACGATAAAATAATTGTAGTCCTTTCTTTTAGCTTCCTAAATATACTGAAATCATGTTGTTTGGTTTGGTTTTCATGGAGAAAAACACAAAAAACAAAAAAAAACGCGACACTTTTGAAAGTATTTTACATCATATCTCCACAATGGGAGCACTTCAGAACATAATTCAAATAGATTCTAGAAGCTAGAGTGCAGGGCTACAACTTTAATTTTTTTGCTATTTTAGGAAATTGTTCATGTGACCACTTTCCTAATAACCCTGAAATACCAGAAATATTGCCCTAGGGAAAAATGAAATACCACAAATATTGCCCTAGGCAAGCAATGATATATAGCCCTAGAAAACAATGAAATATAAAAAATATCACCCTAAGCAAGCAATGATATATAGCCCTGGGGAAAAATGAAATACCAAAAATATAGCCCTGGAGAACAATGAAATACCAAAAATATCACCCTAGGCAAGCAATGATATATAGCTCTGCAAAACAATGAAATACCAAAAATATCACCCTAGGTAAGTAATGATATATAGCTCTGCAAAACAATGAAATATCAAAAATATCACCCTAGGTAAGCAATGATACATAGCCCTGGGGAAAAATGAAATACCAAAAATATTGCCCTATGCAAGTAATAATATATAGCCCTGGAGAACAATGAAATATCAAAGATATTGCCCTAGGCAAATAATAATATATAACCCTGGGGAAGAATGAAATATCAAAAATATTGCCCTAGAGAAGCAATAATATATAGCACTGGGGAAGAATGAAATATCAAAAATATCACTCTGGGAAGCAATGATATATAGCCCTGGGGTAGAATGAAATATCAAAAATATCGCCCTAGAGAAGCAATGATAAATAGTCCTAGGGAAGAATGAAAGGATCCCAAGTTGAATGACATAAGGTAGGCAGAATGAAATAAGACACATTTCATTTCATTTGCCTAGCCATTTCATTTCATATTTTTACTGGGCTGCAAATAAATGACTGCGCAGGCAACTGCCTAGTATTTATCATATAAGTGGTGCCGACCACTCCCAATGATCCATTGTGCCTGGTAATGAATAACTAAGAGAATGCAAAAATCGGACACAAAGTGTTAGTGACCTTGTGTAGCTAGATCTGCCACTCCTTGAGGGTCCACAAATAGGACGATGTAACCCTGTCAACAAGCTGTGCCATCCTGCGACCCCCTGGGTTATTAGAGAAGAGTTTGCAGTTGCAGCCTTAGCCTGCCTAAATGGCGAGAATTTCATCATCGAGCAGTCTCCTCCAATGCCTAGACAAATAGGTGTGTTTACGCCCTCGGAAGGTATCATGAAAGTCAGTCAGTACAAAATGTCAACTATGGGTTCATAAAGGAGCAGCAGTTGATGTGTTCATGTTGCCTGATGTCAACAGTTCATCTGGTAGGTTCAAAGCCTTCCTACCCAAGGGCAAAGCACGAATTTGCTCAATAGCCAAGGTATGTATATGTAAGGGTCATCAAGGTCGTCACTGGATGACTGTCATGTTCAAACCCTTCCTAGCCAAGGGCAAAGCACAAATTCGCTCAGTGGCCAAGTTATGTGTTGAAAGGGCCAAGGTATGTGTTGAAAGGGTCATCTGGACAACCAGTCTTTCCTTTCACTAGTAGCTACCATTGTATATTAAATACACAAGGCAAATGCCAGCACAGAGATTTCATTGAAGCCAGTAAAATCTAAGATATGAAATGGTGTGGCAAATGATATGAAATTCATGTCATTGGTGTGTTGGCTTGATATCTTTTCCATGTCATTCATCCCAGCCCTCTATTTCTTTCCCCTGCCAGCTCTATATGTCTTTCTCTACCTAGGACAATGTTTTATCTATTTCTTTCCTCCCATGCAGCTATTTCTTTCCCTCCCAGGTGTATATTTCTTTGTCTACCTGAGCTTATGTTTTATCCATTTCCTTCCTCCCAGGTATCCATTTCTTTGCTTCCCTGTGCCGATGTTTTAGATATTTCTTTCCTCTCATGCATCCATTTCTTTGCTTCCCTAGGCCGATGTTTTAGGTATTTCTTTCCTCCCATCCACCTATTTCTTTGCTTCCATCCACCTATTTCTTTGCCTTTTATTTATCCAGCTCTATTTTTATTCATTTGATTGTCCCACACCCATATTTTATTGCCTGCCTGCTCTATGTTTTATTCATTTCATTGGCCCCTGCCTATATTTCATTGCCTGCCTGCTATATATTGCCTCAGGGTCCAGAGTGCATTTCCAAATATGGTGTATAATGTTAGGTACTGCTTTCAGGGTCTACTGAATATATCCAAAAAAGTAAACATCATTGGGGATGACCAAAAAGTGGAAGAAACCAAGATAATGATACATGTCAGGGTCCATCCAATGGGGTGGTCACATGACCAATTTCCCAAAATAGTAATAAATAATAATAAAGCTTCAGCCCTGTATTGTAGCTTTCAGAATCTCTTTGAATTATGTCCCAAAGTGCTCCTGTTGTGGAGATATGAGGCAAAACATCTTTCCTATGGCCAGCTTTTTTGCATTTTTCTCCATGAAAACAATACCCAACAATATGATTTCAACTTTGTACCCCTGCACTGTAGCTTCCCAAATCTGGTTGAATTATGTTCTGAAGTGCTCCTGTTGTGGAGATATGAGGAAAAGGAATTCCAAAAGCATTGTGTTTTTTTTTTTGTTTTTTTGCATTTTTTTGCATGAAAACAAAACCAAACAATATGATTTCAGTATATTTAGAAAGCTAAAAGAAAGGGCTACAATTATTGTATCATGGGAAAAATGACCAAAAAAGGAAAGTGCATGCCCTAGAAAAGGAATTGTCAGATTGCCAAGTTTACTGATACACTACAAAAGACTACAAAAGTCAGACATAGTCTACAAAGTTTACTGATACACTACAAAAGACTACAAAAGTTGGACTTAGACTACAAAGTTAGGGTTAGGGCTAAAAGGTTATCCAAAGTCTACCTAGCCCATACATCCCATACATGGCACATATTTGATGTGGAAATGGCTGGGGAATATACAGATACATTGCAGGGACCTTATTCCCTGTTTAGTTTGTGCAAAAGAGATCATGAGAGCCATTAGAAAAGGTTGTCCTGTTCACTTTTTTAGACTACAAAAGTTTTAGTCTTTCACATTATGAAAGACTATTCTATGCCTTCATCTTGATAGCTACCATTCTGTCCTATCTCAAAACATAGTTATAAGCTCATGGGGATATGGCTGAAGGATGGACATAACCTCACATATTAATGATTGGTCCTTGAAGGTTTTATGGCCTTCAACACCAAAGTCAGGTCATGTTAGAAAAGGTCAACCAAATTCAGAGTTGTCCTTCACCAGAATCCTGCCAAGAGAGAGGATAAAGCTGCCCCTATCATTAACTCTCCGTACCCTTGCATGAATCTTATTGAGGCTGAGTGTGATAAGAAGGTTTAGAAAGTGACAACTAGGATAGGTTGCACCTGTATGGCAGAGAATTTATGTCCATCCAAGAAATCATTTCAAGGATGGCTAGTCAGATATAGAATAGTGGCTTCTGAGATGTATCATTATCTTGGTTTCTTCCACTTTTTTGGATATATTCATTAGACCCTGAAAGCAGTACCTAACATTATACACCATATTTGGAAATGCACTCTGGACCCTGAGGCAATATATAGCAGGCAGGCAATGAAATATAGGCAGGGGCCAATGAAATGAATAAAACATAGAGCAGGCAGGCAATAAAATATGGGTGTGGGACAATCCAGTACTTTACCCTCCCCCATGAGTTCCGGCGGACTCCAGCAGACTCCCATAGAATGTCGGAATTCCATCCGGAGTCCACCGGAATGGTAGGAATCTCAAATTCCAGTGGATTCTGCCGGATTCTGAATGGAATTCCAATGGATTCCACCGGATTCTGAATGGAATTCCAATGGATTCTGCCAGATTCTGAATGGAATTCCAATGGATTCCACTGGATTCTGAATGGAATTCCAATGGATTCCGCCAGAATCTGAATGGAATTCCAGTGGATTCTGCTGGACTCTGAATAGGTCTTCAGTACTTTACCCTCCCCCACATGCTCTGATCAGAGCTGATCAGCGCTGAGCAAGACTGATTAGCACTGATCAGAACTGAGCTAGAGGTCAGGTGACTTGAGCTGTATTTATTGAAGTCAGAAATTCAAACCTCCTTATAAAATTCACAAGTGAATTAGATCAAATAATGATGTATTTCAATTATAATACAAAATATATTTAACTACATACAGTGTATACTAGAGAGGGAGGGGATGGGCAAGGAAGGGGCAGGAAATGAGGAGGGAAGGGGAAAGGGAAAAGGGAAAAGGGAAAAGGAAGGGGGGG